ACAAATGGATCACAAAATTCAAGACAAAAGAGAGTCTATAAGAAGACAAAGACATCACAAGAAGTAGTGAAACGAGAAGACAATGATTTGGCGGAAGAAGAGGTCACTAATGAAGACTCGGATGAGAGGAAGACATTGACGACAGACACAGACCTCAAGAGTATTAAAGACAAGACATGTTATAAACTACGAAAAAAGAGGACAAAACCAGTGTATTGTTCATTGAAGCCAAAGATATATCGTTGCGATTACAAAGACTGTGACCACAAGTGCCGATCCGCGGCAACACTGGCCACACATATGAAATCACACGACAATCAGAAGACCGAATCCAATAGACAGCTAAGGCTAGACCTTCACCGCCGGTGCTATAACTCGACCACTAATACCTATACATGCGATCAAATCAATTGTCTGAAGACATTCACTAATTATACCAGATTTAGAGACCATTGGATTTATATTCACAAAGCGTTGAAATCAAAGTCATTTGAATGCAATTACAAAGATTGTGACTATAAGTGCCGATCGGATGCATTGTTGACCTCTCATAGAAAATCACATAACAATCCTAAGACCGCAGCCAATAGACAGCTAAGGCTAGACCTTCGCCGCCGGTGCTATAACTCGACCGCTAATACCTATACATGCGATCAAATCAATTGTCTGAAGACATTCGCAAATTTTAACAGATTTAGGGAGCATTGGATTTGTGTGCACACAACTCGTGATGTTGTCTGCGATTATCCCGACTGTAAAAAAGTGTTCAAAACTAAAAGCCTCTTAAGAATCCATTTCAATAATCTCCACAAAACAGACAATCCGTTTAAGTGTCCGCACAATGGATGCAGTAAAGCGTTTGCATACAGACAGCGATTGGACTACCATTTGAACAGTCATACGACTGGTCGACCATTTGTATGCGATTTCATTGGCTGTCAGAGAAGCTATAAGAATGAAATATCACTCACGACTCACAAACTGATCCATTTGAGTGAACCCACCATTAAGTGTAGTGTCGAGGGCTGTGGCGAACGGTTCTATAAACACAGGCATATGAACAAACACCGAGCGGTCGTCCACTCTATACCCCTTTATAGATATCGCCCTAAGCCTGAGAATCGGGTGCCCTGTCTGTGGCCGGGCTGTGACTTCACCACTAATGGCGGCAATTATGTACTCAAACAACATGCCGTCAAACATACCGGTGAAAAGCAGGTGGTCTGCCATTGGCCCGAATGTGGCAAACGGTTTGCCCGATACGACCACCTGAAGGGACACATGAATATACACAACAATGTCAAGCCGTATGCCTGCGATTGGCCCGGATGTCAGTACCGGTGCTGTTATAGAAGTAATATATCCAAACACTATAAACAGGTACACAACAAGTGATCACATATTTTGTAATTACATTTTGTCAAACATTTTGTTAATTAAATTTTTTTATTTAATAAATACTCTTATATTAATTTTTAAATATTCAAATTGAATTTAGAGTATAGTATGAAATGTAATATTAATTTTTAATATAAATAAATTGAAAGCACTATAAAATGTATACAAATATTTAATTTATTAAATAATTTGATTACAAATTGTGATACTATTTGAATGGATTAACAAATTGGTGGCAATTAATGAAAAGTCCCCTAAAGTTGTTGTCAACAAAAGTGAATGCATTTTCAGTCAATGTTTTCAGTTATCGTTTGTTTTCATTAAAAGTCTTTAATTTCAAAAAAATTTATAAATTGTTTATAAAATTATGGTTAAAATGAAGAGAAATAAAAAGTCATTAAATATTAGTATAAATGATATTTTGGATGAATTAATGGCTGAAAACAAACGACTTTTACATGAAATCAAGTGTTTATTTGAATTGAAAACACATTTAATTAAAATTCACTCAAAATATGAAACACTTATCGATTGTGAAGACAAACAACACTTCAGACTATTGTCGCTACGATTGGATCAATTGAGTGACAAACAAACTGAAGACACAAATGAATCCCAAGAAGTGAGACAAACTCGAGGCCAGAAGAAGAGACAAATATCTCGAGAAGTAGTGAAACAAACGGATCAAACAAATGGATCACAAAAATTGAGACAAAAGAGAGTCTATAAGAAGACAAAGACATCACAAGAAGTAGTGAAACGAGAAGACAATGATTTGATGGATAAAGTGGTCACTAATGAGGACTCGGTTGAGAGGAAGACATCGACGACAGACACAGACCTCAAGAGTATTAAAGACAAGACATGTTATAAACGATTGAAACCAAAGGCTATTAAACAAGTATTCGGTTCATTAAACTCAAAGACTCTTGAATGCGATTACAAAGACTGTGACTATAAGTGCCGATTTGCGGCAACTCTGGCCATACATATGAAATCACACGACAATCAGAAGTTCGAAGCCTATAGACAGCTAAGGCTAGATCTTCGCCGCCGATGCTATAACTCGACCACTAATACCTATACATGCGATCAAAGCAATTGTCTGAAGACATTCACAAATGCAAACAGATTTAGAGATCATTGGGTTTATGTCCACAGAACTCGTGATGTTGTCTGCGATTATCCCGAGTGTAACAAAATGTTCAAATCGCCATTCCTTATGAGAATTCATTTCAATAGAGTCCACACAACATACAAACCGTTTAAATGTCCGCACAATGAATGCGGTAAAGAGTTTGCATACAAACAGTGTTTGGACTCTCATTTGGTCAGTCATACGACTGGTCGGCCGTTTGTATGCGATTTCATTGGCTGTCATCGGAGTTATAAGAATGAAGTGTCACTCACGACACACAAACTGATCCATTTGAGTGAACCCACCATTAAGTGTAGTGTCGAGGGCTGTGGCGAACGGTTCTATACACGCATGAAGATGAAGAAACACCGAGAGGTCGTACACTCTATACCTTTTTATAAGTTTTGCCCTAAGCCTGAGAATCGGGTGCCCTGTCTGTGGCCGGGCTGTGACTTCACCACTCATCGCGGTAATTATGTACTCAAACTCCATGCCCTCAAACACACGGGTGAAAAGCCGGTTGTCTGCGATTGGCCCGAATGTGGCAAACGGTTCGCCAGAATGGATCATCTGAAGGACCACATGAATGCCCACAAGAATGTGAAGTCGTATGCCTGCCATTGGCCCGGATGTCAGTACCGGTGCTCTTACGGGTCTAATATAACCATACATTATAAACAGGTGCACAAAAAGTGATCACATATTTTGTAATTACATTTTGTCATTAATTAACATTTTGTGACGAAAGTCGGGCTCGCGTTCGCTGGCGGTGAACCCTTGACGACCCGTCGGACGGTATTCGGGACCAAAGTCTGGGAGACGACGAGGTCTACCGTCGTATGTGTCGGATGTGTCGAGTGGTTGCGGTGTTAGTGAACGGATGGGAAGTCCCGGTATGAGTGGACCTCTGATGTATGCACGAGATATGAATGGATGACTGTATGTATGGACTCATGTGGAGAAGTACTACACGGACTACGGGATGAGAAGTCCGGGAAGAGGGAGAAGTCACTGTATGAATGAATGTTAGTGAGAAGTAAAATGGGCAGCACTTCGTGTGTATGAATGTTTATGCATTCCCTCTTGTTTTAATGAATGATTTTATGAATGTTTACAATGGATTGAATATATATGTTATGACAGTGCGTATGATATGAGAAGTAATGTTATGTGACTTCTAGTGATCGGAGGTCAGAAGTACTCGTATGTATGGATGCGTATGTTTTAGGACAATGATATGAATGATGCATAAATGGTATGCTTTAGCGTTAATGACAATTAGATGTGTTAAACATAGTTAAATGTAATGATGGTTAAAGTGGTTACAACTGGTTATTGAGGGCAATGAATGCAATGTTTGTTTTAAGGCTTATGTATGAGAAGGACTTATGAATGAGGGCAAAGTTTACAACGGATATATGGTTTGAAATGCTATGTATATGTATGAATGTATGTACTGTTCGGTGGATGTCTTGTTCGGGTGCTGTTCGGTGTTCGGGACTTCTGTTTTCGTTACAATTTAATTAGTTAATTTTTTTGATTGATAAACAACTACTTTTACATTAATGTAATTTTGATTCATTTTCTAATATTCATAACACATTTAGAGTAATTTATATAAAATTTAATATTAATTTTTAATATAAATAAATTGAAAGCATTATTAAATGTATACAAATATTTTATTTGTTAATTAATTTGATTACTAATTGTGATACAATTTGAATGGATTAACACATTGTTAGCAATTAATGAAAAGTCCCCTAAAGTTGTCAACAAAAGTGAAGGCATTTTCACTCAATGTTTTCACTTATCGTTTGTTTTGATTAAAAGTTGTGAACAAAAAATAATTTATAAATTGTATTAAATTGTGGTTAAAATGAAGAGAAATAAAAAGTCATTAAATATTAGTATAAATGATATTTTGGATGAATTAATGGCTGAAAACAAACGACTTTTACATGAAATCAAGTGTTTATTTGAATTGAAAACACATTTAATTAAAATTCACTCAAAATATGAAACACTTATCGATTGTGAAGACAAACAACACTTCAGACTATTGTCGCTACGATTGGATCAATTGAGTGATAAACAAACGGAGGAATCAATTGAGTCACAAGTGAGACAAACTCGTGGCCATAAAAAGAGACTAAGATTTGAAGAAATAGTGAAACAAACGGATCAAACAAATGGATCACAAAATTCAAGACAAAAGAGAGTCTATAAGAAGACAAAGACATCACAAGAAGTAGTGAAACGAGAAGACAATGATTTGGCGGAAGAAGAGGTCACTAATGAAGACTCGGATGAGAAGGAGATTGAGTGCAAAGTCTGTGGCAATCGGTGTCTCACAACTGAAGGACTTAAACATCACATGAAAATACATGACTCACAGAAGAGTGCGGATGTGTATCGACAACAGCGTCAGGAGCTTAAGGACAGGTGCTATGACTCGATCACTAATACCTATATCTGTGACCAAAACGATTGTCTGAAGACATTCAACAATTTAATAGAGTTTAGAAAGCATGTGATTAGTGTCCACACGAGTCGTGATGTTGTCTGCGATTATCCCGAGTGTAACAAAGTGTTCAAAACAAGACATTTAATGAGAAAACATTGCAATAGAAGTCACCCGACGGATGAGACTCTGTGGAGGAAGACATCGACCGCAGAGACAGTCGTGAAGAGTATTAAAGACAATAAAAGACTTAAACGATTGAAACGAAAGCAGAAACAACTCGATGTGGACTTAATCTCAAAGCCATTTGAATGCAAAGTGTGTGGCAAACGGTGTTTAACGGGCGGAGCACTGGAGGCACATATGCGAAGACATGACCCGTGGAAGTATGCATTGGATCGACAACAGCGTCAGGAGCTTAAGGATAGGTGTTATGACTCGACTACTAATACATGGATCTGTGACCAAATTGGTTGCCAAAAGACATGCAATACTTACCATCAGATAAGAGCGCATTTGTTTAGTGTCCACAAGAGTGCGGACATTGTCTGTGATTTTCCTGATTGCGGCAAAAAGTTTAAAATGTTAGGAGGAATGCAAAAGCATTACCGCATTTTTCACACCGACGACAAGCCGTTCGGGTGTCCGCACGAAGAGTGCGGACAACGGTTTGTAAATAATAACGATTTGAAGAAACATATGGTTAGCCACGAAACTGGTCGCCGATTTGCCTGCGATTTCATTGGCTGTCAAAAGGTTTATATGAATCCACACACTCTTGAGACTCACAAACGGATCCATTTGAGTCAACCGACCATTAAGTGCACTGTCGAGGGATGCGCTCAAAGGTTTTATTCGCACCACGAGGTGGACAAACACCGGGCGAGTGTCCACTCTATGCCCCGAAAGCGCAGTATAGGTGTACCGGTTCAGTGTCTTTGGCCGGGCTGTGACTTTATGGGTGATAATTGTAGTCTAAAGCGACACGAAAGAACACACACGGGTGAGCGGCCGTATGTCTGCGATTGGCCAGAATGTGGCAAACGGTTCACTCGACCCGACTATTTGAGAAATCACAAGAATGTGCACAACAATGTCAAACCCTATGCCTGTCATTGGCCCGGATGTCACTACCGGTGCAGTCATAAGAGTAATGTAAACATACACTACAAACAAGTGCATCAAAAGTGATCACGTATTTTGATAATTATGATTAAATAGTTTGTCAAACGTTTTGTTAATTAACTTATTTTATTGAATAAATAATTGCTTTTACATTAATGTAATGATTCATTCACATAACTTATGTCTAATTTTAGCGCTATTTTTGGTTCAAAATAGTTAATAAGTTTCAAAAAGTTAACAAAATTTTTCACAAATTTTTAATTTTTCTATTATTTGTTGTCAACAAAAAGGAGAAACACTTTGCAATCGTCTCTTTACTCAGACATCACTCAAACACATCCAATTGCGGCGTTTGTGCGCTATCTTAATGGCCAACACGTCTCGCATATGATCAGTGATTTGATGGCTCACAACCATTGCTACAAATGTTTGTTGGATTTCTACATAACTTATTTGAGTTTAAATAAAAAAAACTGAATTTATATTAACAACAATTAAATACAGTCTTAATTATATTATTACTAATTATTATTTCCAATTTCTAGAAAAAAAAACAAAATAAAAACTTTTTTTTTTAAATTTAAACAATAGTTAAAATGTATTTCAAACCAAAAACTTTCACTTGATTTCAAGTTCCACTGCTATTCACATCGTTTCCAAACTCGTAAAGAAAATTATCACAAATTGTGTCTAAAAATGCAATTATCAACGAAGATATCAAACCTTTTCTCACGTTTTGTCTCGTATTGGTTTGGAGATGTGTTCCCGCAATACAGTCAACACTCGGAGCCCAACGAACCCGAAGTGAGCTTAACAGAAGGCATTAGATTCTCGACGGCGTTCGGTCATCCGATGGCCCGCTAAAGGGTTCGGTCAGTCGTGTGGGTGAAGAGGTATAGGTGTGTGAAGCAGGGGTTGGGGGAGTGGGGAGTGTATGAGCGGTGAGTGGTTTGGACACAGAACCAGAGGTGAC